TGAGAGAAGCGGAGAAGTGAGATATAGGGAGGGTGGGCAAGGGGAGGGGAGAGAGAAGAAAGGAAAGAAGGGAAGGAGAAAGAGGGAGAGAGAAGGAGAGAGAGAGAGGAGAGAGGAAATGAGGTAGGGGAGAGAGACAACATAAAGGCCAAGTGCACCCACCAAATAAAAACAAAGGTTTAGAATGAGATAATTTATGGAGAGATATCCACACCACAAGAACCAAGAGAAAGAAACTTGAACAGTCCACATTCATAATCCAACAATGAAACTAAAAACATAGCATACGGAAATTCAAATCTAACTTGACTTTATTATTCAAGCTAATCTCATAGGATAATTGAATGCAAACAATGCTTTCATCTCTAGAATAAGAAACCTAACTAAATCCTTACCGGGCCCAATTTCAGGTCAAATAGAATCACAACAGCAAGCTCGGAAAATTTCTAACCTCATCCCCTAACATATTGTCTAATATGTGAAGAAAGCATATATCAGGTGAGGTTTGTGGGCAACAAAAACGAAAGATATTGATCATCACTATTTTATATACTGTATGAATATTTATGAATTTCATCATGAAGGCTGTGTGCAAGGGTAACATACCACACTGAAAGGATCCTTTCCCATCATCAGTATTCCTTTTATGAAAAATTCTGTCAGTCATTGATGAGGCAAATTGGATGGATAAAAAAGGGTATAGGCCTTTAGACGAGGCAACAATGATAAATCACATTACAAAATAGAAAAAAGACCACCTATTCGCACTTGCATTGGTTAGATGGCAAAAGCCAACAAAAAACCATCTTCCTTCAATCAAGATTTCTAAATGTTGAACCTATAAAACGAGTTATAGCAGGATGAAGCTAGGCAACTATACGTTTATCATAACTACAATAGTCAAAATTCAGCATTTCAAGAGATAAACTAACAAAGTCACCCTCTTTAATCTTACATTTAATAAGGGATATAACCTGTGGTTCAGCGACCTTGTTCAATGAAACTGAACCCGTAAGCAGTGTCTGGAAAGGCCAACAAATTAGAGATCAAATTAAATAAATTATCTCTGGAGAAAAATGCATTGGGCTTCTACAGGGAAATTTTAATGAAACAATAGTTTTAGCATTTAACCAACCGCTCACCCAACATTTGTTCTAGATAAACCACAGAAAAGAGTTACTGGACGCTGCAAATCTGTAGTCAAATGAATCTGTCTTACTAGCATTCTGTTACAAGAACCAAACATAATGATTGTGGAGCGAATTAGAAAACAAATATGGCATTGCAAAAGAGGAATTGGAAATAATAACATCATTGACCTACCAGAAGGTCCTTACCATCAGCATGCTTTTCCTTTAATTTAACATATGTCAAGTGCTTTGAGCTTGCTATTGCTTTGCTTCTTTAGTTTATATTTCTCCCTTGATAAATCTTATTTTGAGTTCATAAGTCAGCAAACCCCTCCCATGATTCTTCAAAATTCCGTCTATAAATAATGATATAGAACAAAAAACTAATATGATGAGAGGATACGAAAAATGCACTTTGATGGCCGGTGGGTTTTAGAGACGGGGAGAATAAAAATCCCTTAGCAGTGTAATTGGGTTTCCCTGCTATGCTTGAAGCAACCTCTCTTATATGATAATCGAAAACAAATCTCAAAAATAAGTTTTTGGTGGCATTTAAATTTGAATCACCTATTTTAAGGCTCCCTAGTTGAATTCCACCTACAAAAAAAAACTGTTCACTTCCCTATAATCTTGTCACTTTAATGTCGAATTCTTGTTATTTGTTTTTAACTAAACACAAGTTAAATGTGAATTTAAAAGGAGAATGAAAGCGGACTTAAAAAAGAATAAGTGTAGAGAGTCATGATGCCATTTAAAGGAACAAAAGTAAATTGAAACTTTGAAGAGAGTTCATCCTTGCTTGTTCTTGTTCTGGAGTATACACCTGTTTGCCCTTCCCTTTCCCCATAGTAGAGAGGCCTTCAGGAACTAAAACATCCTAAATAAACTTTTCTTTCAAAAATCTGAGAAGCAAAAAGACAAGACCCATGAATTTAGCATTTTCTTGCTTCAATGTTTTCGTTGAAGTGGCAGTGGATGTTCTATCAAGAAGAAAGGGGGGAGGGGGGTGATAGTCCGTATCCTATGGTAGTGAGTAGTGACCCGTTTGGGTGGGATCCCTCTTCCACCGGAAAGAAAAGCAAGTAGGCCGTGGTTCGACATAGCCAAAAACACCATCAACTGGTTTATCAATTTTCTCGCTGGCAAAGTGAGAAATGGCCACAGAATTCATTTGTGGAAAGATAAATAGGTAGGCCCATAAACCCTCGAAGCCTTGTTTTCCAAATATTTTCACAATCTCTGTGAAGAAAGAGGCAACCATGACTGTTGGAACAAGGAAAATTCGGATTGGAATCCTAACTCCACGAGGGATTTAATGGACGGAGAAGTAGGGAGAGTAACCACACATGAGAGGTCTCGTTATATTTCAATGCAACTCAGTAGAGTTAAAATGGATTCGGGATTAATGTTATTTATTATACTAACATTGAGGTGTGGTAGAAAACTTGACACTACAATTTAAAAGTGATGACAAAAGTTCAATCATAAACCATGCTTAAAATATTTACCAAGAAAATAACGACAAATATTTTTTGCAAATTTCGTTGCATACACCTTCTTCCTTGGAATGTAAAGCTCGGTGATCATTCCCACTTTGTTCTGCATTTTGACTTCAACAACCCAATTTAGTAAAGAAACAGCGCATTGCATCAAGACAGGAAAAAAATTGATTTATAATCCACCATATAAGCGTCAAAAGTTGACTACTATCCCAAAAAGTTGGGGAAAACAAGAAAAACAAAAATAATTAAAAGAGAAGAAAAAGGAAGCTGAAACTGAAGACAACAGCACACACACCAGTAGCAAGTCGGAATCATCTTTTCCGAGGCAGGAAGGATCATTATCCACACACAACAGGAATGTGCAGAAACTATTTCAGTGGCATTGATCCCGGATCCATTCCACAGAGACTCCAATAGCCTGACGGAAAAAAAAGAAAGAATAATCTGAGTGGAGCAACATTACCGATTGAGAAATCCATAATCTCAAGTCTTACTTCTCTGAATAACGGAAATGTTAACTTCTTTGTCGTTCTAGGACGTATACTTCATCTAAATCTACCAAAATAATAATAATAAAATACTATAAATAGAAAAGAAATCGCCATGCACATGCAACCCAAAATTCAAACAATAATCTGAATCCTCTCAACTTGCAATCAAAGACAGAAACTAACCTCCTGTGTCGAAAGATCTCAGGATGATGCCATGGGATGGGATGACGTTAAAAATTTTTAATCAATTGGCAAACTTCACTGCGGTCGATGCGAACGCCTCCACTCTGTCGACATCTCATCCTGGGTGATCGAGTTTCAAAGCGGCCAACTTTGGATCAGAGATATTGGCCGTTCCAATATTATGAGATTGTGGTTTCCATAGATTTTCGGACGTGGGAGGAGGGCATTATCGTTTCATGAGGTATAGGGGAGATGAACAAAAGAACCATTTATGGTCACGGTGGGATCTAACCGATTTAAACTTCCATCGGGATGTGATCAAATGAATGATTTAGGGTTCCGGTAGGATCTAATCGAAAGGAGGATTTAGGGCTTCGAAGACAGAGACGAGAGAACTGGAAGGTGAGTTCAAAATCCAAGGAAATTTTTGTTTCGGCATAAAAAAGTAGCGGATTGTTCAATCGAGGACAAAGGCAACAAATAAGAGTTCCATCGGAATTGAGAAAACTCCAAACCGGGAGCCAGTGCGATTAGAACCTGCGAGATCAGACCAAGAAGAAGAAGATTGCAATATGATTTTACGTACTTCCAACATCGATAATCGACTGATAATGAGCGAGAGAGCGAAGAAGAGAATACCCTAACTGGAAACCCATAAATGAGATCGGAAAAGAAAAGCGAATGATGAAGGCCACAGAGGAGGAGGAGAAGAAGGCTGGAGAGGAAGAGCTACTAACGTTTGAGGCGACGTTTCTCTAACCAAACAGAAGCGACTCCGTACTTATAGCCGTTGGATCGTGCGTGGAGAAGAAGCTAACTCAAAATAAAATGCTTTTAACAAAATAAAAACCATCAAATAACAAATGATGGGCCCCTAATTCGGCCCACGGAGCCACAATCATCTCTCTCTCTATCCTTTCATAACGAAACTCAAAAAATAATAAAATAAATAATACATTTCAAAATATCGATTACACGTTACCTAACCAGTAAGAAGTTGTAATTAATTTTTGTTTTAGTAGTTCTAAAAATAAATTGTTATAAATACAATACATTATTTTATCAGGTTTTGTGTTTGTGTGTGCGTGTATATATATATATATATATATATATATTCTCAAAATGAAAATATTAATATAACAATCAAATCTCTGGAAATATAAAATAAAACAAAATAAAAAAACTGTTTTTACTTTATTTTTAAATTTTTAATTATACAAAATTTTAACATTTTAAATTCAGACTAGTTCGAATTTTAAATTATAATCGCATGACATAAGTCTCTCACTCTCCCTTCCTGCATATAATAAAGGTACAAATTTTTTCATTCTGATTGTAGCTACTTATTAAGCTCAGCCTTAGTAGAAGTGGGTAACGACACTCGGTGGACAGTCTATCCGCTCTTAAGTGGTATTATCAGCCATTCCGAAGGTGGTTCGGTGAGATTTTGAACCGAATTGGTTCGGTTTAGTTTTCAATTAGAGAACCGAACCGAACCAATAATCTTACACCCCTAATATGTTATGTACCATCAAGGAAATACATAATAATCTTACAAAACAAAAAGAATTATAAGCCCATGTCATATATATATTCTATACCACCAAGGAAATACATAATAATCTTACAAAAATAAAAATTAAAAAAGAATTATAACCTGAGAGGCAATTTATCAAGATCCACGGCATATATCACCCCTCCCCTTAGCAAACTGACCTCATATATGGCACAGAATTTGGCTAAAATTAAAAGCAAAATATTACCCTACTCCAATAACTTTTTATTACTAGTAACGGAACCGATAAGACACCATATTACTACAAGGCAAAGAACAAAATATGATCAGTATACTGTTATTGAAGTACTGTTATTGAATCATGTCACAGTAATTGTTGTATCAATAGATTTGAAAAGTTTTGAAACATACCTGAACTGAAGTTATGGGTAGGAGAATCCATTCTTAATCAACCAACCACAAGCGAGTCCGTAACTTATAGCCATTGGAACGTGCACGGAGAAGAAGCTTAACTCAAAATAAAATTATAATATAAATTCATTTAATTTCTCTTTAATTTCTGGAGAGATAACCACACCACAAGAACCAAGAGAAAGAAAATTCAAAAATGCTTTTATCTCTAGAATAAGAAACATAACTAAATCCTTTCCCATCATCAGTATTCCTTTTATGAAAAGTTCTGTCAGTCATTGATGAGGCAAATTGGATGGATAAAAAAGGGTATAGGCCTTAAGACGAGGCAACAATGATAAATCACATTACAAAATAGAAAAAAGATCACCTATTCGTACTTGCATTGGTTTGATGTCAAGAGATAAACTAACAAAGACACCCTCTTTAATCTTACATTTAATAACGGATATAACCTGTGGTTCAGCAGCCTTGCTCAATGAAACTGAACCAGTGAGGCAGTGTCTGGAAAGGCCAACAAATTAGAGATCAAATTAAATAAACTATCTCCGGAGAAAAATGCACTGGCCTTCTACAGGGCAATTTTAATGAAACAATGGTTTTAGCATTTAACCAACCACTCACCCAACATTTGTTCTAGATAAACCACATAAAAGAGTTACTGGACCCTGCAAATCTGTAGTCAAATGAATCTTTGTTCTTCCACCATCACATATCTGCAAATAAAACAAAACTATTGATAAATTTTATGGCAATAATTTAGAAATGTCATTAAGTGGACGCAACTAGAAAAATAGCATTGGAAGTGGACTTAAAAACTAAGCACGACGACTCTTTAAAAATGACCGTTTTAAGTTTATAACATTCCTTAATCAATATTTGAAGAAAATAAAGCTAAGGATATACCCTTCAACTCACTGCCAATATTCCTAGCGTTTTTCATATCACTATCGTTGTCAAAGCAGTGCAGAATTCCCCCACAAGCTGAGTTAGAAAAACATAAATGCAACAAGAACAGAGAGAGGATGGAGCAAAAATTAACTTCAATACCTGAGTTAGTGCCACACCACCCTCAAATAAAGTTTGCAGGCAATGAAACCAATAAAAGAATACAGCAAACTGGGAAGAGTTGCATACTGATCCATATTTGCCTAATTGACTCCCAATTATTTGCAATTATAAGAAGCCCTCAAACTGCAACAGACCTCGAACAAAATAATCTTGTTCCCCGAACACGAAGAACCAGTAGGTTTGTTTATCAACCATAATCCATCTGAAACACAATGTCAAATGCTAAGATGTATCATATAAAACTAAACTAAGGGTAAATTCGAAAAAATAACCTTGTTCCCCGAACACAAAGCACCGTTTATTCAACCATCATCCATCTGAAACACAATGTTAAAAGCTAAGACAGTATGATTACTTACTAATGGTAAATTCTTTATCGGATGTCCCAAAAGGGACTTACTAGTGGTAAATTTGATTGCGAGAATGTATAAATCTCATTTTGTCGACATGGAAAATAAAAATTTAACTTCCAATAAAATTAGCGTAGGCAATAAGGTGAAATAGGAAATTTCCGATCAATTAATTTTCCTTAACTCACCTCACATCTTTTAAAAAATCATACAACAAAAAGTTCAGTAAGAGGAAAAATTATTCAAAGCAACAGTTTAAGAAATGGACAAAATTTCAAAGGAAGAAAAGAGGCTGGAATAAAAAATTTAAGAGAGCGAAATAAAAATTTCGGAGAAAATATGTTTTGAGGGTTGGACAAAAATTCCAACGGCCAACATCAATATCCCAACAAAATGCAAAAGAGAAAGCCCATAACATTATCTTTTTACCTCTGAGAAAAAGATTTAACCGAAATGAAGAACATGCTACCTTGACTGATTGAGTAGCTTCGAAGTAGAATATTATACATAAATATCCCTCATATTTATCCAATACAAATAAGACTGCAACAAAACTTCAACTGGTAAATAAATTAGGAAGGAAGAAAAAAAGGGCATATGCTATTATGAATATTGAGACATTGAAGAATATTGAAATGGAAACATACCTAATGGAAATAAATCTTAGACACTATTTGAAGCACAAGAGAAAACACGATTCTAAGGAGATGATGAACATGGAAACTGAAACATACCAAAGAAAAATATATTTCTTGTTGACAGGAAAATGTAAGTAGGTTTTTACATGGGTTCTAGTCTGTCTTTGAATGTTTCAAAACATCTGTTATAGGTGTTAATACCAACCTAGTAAAGCAGTCTTCTTGGGCTCAAGAGGATCGGATGTAAAGTGGAATCCTTCCCTTTTAACTACTTGGAATTTTACCTTGGTGGTAATAAAAAATTTAGGCCTCCTTCCCAAATGAGGAAGGTTAACCCTCGTGCAAGTATTTCACATCCAATTTTTCTCTCTAACAAAAGCCCCAGTTGAAGTGACTCAAGTGAACAAAATGATGAAAAATTTTATAATTAAGAAAAAGGTGTACAAACCCCTGAAAATTAGGCAATAATTCATAAATCAATGGCAAATTGGGTCCAACCCAATGACACAAGTTTCACCAGAGATTGAAGACTATAACACACAAATCTTTAAATCCTATAAAAGATCCACACTCTTTAGGAAATTCATACTATTTAGTTAAAGAAAATTATTCCATGGGTTAAAGATTCCTAATGTAACCTGTAAGTGGATCTCAAATTGGGTGAATTTTTTCTATGAATTGAAGATCATCTTCCGCTAATCTTCATACCCTACAAAAAGTCCATTCAATAAGAGATCAACCTAGCTAAGGGTTACGTTACAAATCTTTAAGACATGAAAATTTTAACTCTCTCCAAAACGTGTGGATTAAGTAAAAAGAATTGAAGATTACCCCTCACCATCATTCAAAAACTCTAGAAAAATCAATCAATTAGATAAAAAAAACCCTTAAAGATTAGGCAATAAACCATAAATCAATGGCAAAACCGTGTCCAACACATAACACGAACTTCATAAGGGGTTGAAGACTAT